TCCAGTTTCAGAAGCTTACTTAGTGTTTGGTTAGTAAATTACTGATTTTTTTTATTTCCCTTGCATTGGTGATAAATTTGAACTTTTTTTTTGACGAAAATCCTTTATAGGATTTCTCTACAGTTGACTAAAATTGCTCGTTTGGTTTGTCTAATTTAGTATGAGTCTCTCTTCCACTCATTTTAAAAGTTGTTTGGTATTCCATATTTGGTATACCAAATGTATTCTATATTTCTCACCTTTAATGTAACCTTGGTATCTTTATTTTCCTATTTATCCTCGATGGTTTTCTAGTTGAGAACAGCTTTGTGTTTTTGCTACTTGTGGGTGTTTTTGTTTTTGTTTTTTTTTTTTTTTTTTGGTTACTTATGTGTTTTCTCATATTTATTGGATTTTAAAATGTTAAAAAATTTTGTTTCCTAAACTGAAATGTATCTAGGTATTTTTCCCATGTCCATAATATATGTGTATAAAATTTGCAAATTACCATATGGAATAATGCATTTTGTTCTACTTTTGAAATTGTTGCATATTTGAGATGGGTATATTCATTTTAAAATAGAGAAAAACCTTTCTAAAACTTAGAATATTTTTATCTGAAAAAAGGCTTTGAAAGTTATTCTGTATAAAAAGAAAACTAATTGTTCTTATCAAGCTAGTCATTTTATTTAGAATAATTTGTATTAGAATATAATGTTCAAAATAAATCCATAAGACAGATATACCCTATTAATTATGTTAAGACTTTCTAATGTTTTTTCCCCTATTTTGAGCTTTCTTGAATGTTGTATGAAAGTCTTCTGTTAGTAGTACGTTTTTATTTTTCCGTATCTTACAAGCCCTGCTATGTCTCATTTCACTTTTTTCTTTACCTGAATTCTTCCTCTGATGCATGATGTCAACTCCTCCCTTCTAATTGTTCTTTGCCTCATATCTTGGTGAAGTCCTTTATTTTTAGCCTTTTTGAAACACTGTGTTTTTTGTGTGCCATATATATAGCATAGACTTAGATTTTGCTCTTTGATCCATTCTGGACATCTTTTTCTTCTAGTAGGTACATTAAACTAATTCATATTAAATTCTATTCCTTATATTTGCTCTGAATTCCATCATACTATTTTACATTCTAATTATTGGGTATTTTATGTTGCATTTATTGTGTTTTTCTACTAAATGTCCTTTTTTTTTGCAATTTTTAAGAAGTTTTTTGTATTTAGAAAGATATTTTTATTTCCTGATTATCTTTGTATTTATATATTTAATTGTACCCTTACTTTCCCATTATCTAATGTAATATTTTACTTTCCAGTCCATTTTAAATGCTGTCCTTTGTCTCCAGTCTATTATATAAATAGTCAAAGATTTTATTCTCTCCCTTTCTCCCCTATTTTTTCAGTTGCATTTTTTTTACTTAGTCAAAATATTTAAAGTTTACATTCAGTTCTTTATCCAGTGCCCCCACATTCGTTTTCATTCTAGCTCTGCAAATAATGTATTCATCATCAGTCCTTTTACCTGAGTTACTTCTTTTTGCCTGAGGCTCCTCCTCTAGAAGATTGCCCCTAAGAGGCACATGTGTCCAATATTCCCTGAATTTTTGCAGGTTAAAAACTTCTCTCTATAGACTTGATACTTGTAGAACGGCTTAACTAGGTATAAAATCCTTGTCTTGTATTTATCTTAAAAATGCTACTCCAGACTTGCTTTGTATATTATTCTTGATGTCTTTGATAACAGCCTTATTTTCATAATCTCAGGTTCATGAGACTGAGCCTTGGGTAGAGCCCCACACTCAGCAGAAAGTCTACTTCCGATTCTCTCCCTCTCCCTCTGCTCCCTCCCACCCACTCTCCCCTGAGTATAGAGTTCTACCCAGGGCTTAGTCTCATGACTCTGGGATCATGACCTAAGCTGAAATCAAATCATACTCAACGGACTGACTCACCCAAGCACCCCTCAGATAAAATATTTTTATTTACATTTTCTGTTTTCCTTTACCTGAATTTTTATATGAATTCATTTGGTGTTTTTTGTTTGTTTTTAATACTCACCATTTGGTAGTCCACCTCATGTAAGTTTGGCAAAGGGTATTTTTTTTTTAACGGGTGTTGATAAGGAGGAATTGATTTACATGTCTTTTCTTTTGTCTCCATAGGGCCCTTAATTTCTCTTTCTTCCTTACCTTCATCATTATATATGAAAGGAGAGGCACAACCCCATTTATCTGATTCTCCCCAGAGCCTACTTCTTGAGGCCACATGCTTTTTCAGAACCACTTGCTTACAAGTCCTTCTCTATGTTCAGTGCTATGAATTACCAAGTCTCAGACTTAAATCCATTTTGACTCTTTGTGGTAGTTTTTGCTTTCTCATGATGCTTTTTGTCTTCACTTATATATGTCCTTCACTCCACTCACCTTTTTATTTTCCCAGCATCTTAATCTTATATTCCCTAGCTTTCAGTATGTGCAAGCTTGCAATTCAGTGAGTGCTCTGTTGAATTTGGTATTAGTTTCTCAACTTGGAGATATTTTGAAATTTATTGTATCCTCTGTCTCCTAATAATGATGAAGGCTTGGTTCATGTAGTCCTTGTTGAATTTATTCTTTTGGAGGGAGTATGTGGATGGGTTGAAATGTAAGCAACGTTATCCTCTGCATGTATTATGTTCATACACAATAACATTTAACTGATTTTCTCTTGAGATTGATTTTTTTACTTACAGATTAGAAAAAGATACAGCCAGCCAACAAAAAATTTTGGATATTTTTAAACTATAAATAGTTTTACTGACTTTAAACTGACAGGGAAGTCATCTTTCAAATTAGTTCATCAGTTTCTAAAGACATATACACACACATACACTTAAAAGAATCTATTATTTTTGTGCTCTTTATATAGATTTGTTTTACATATACATTTTTTACAGTTGTGTTAGTATATATGAAATCAAATTGAGTATTCTCAAGAACTGCACTTTCTGATCTTTTTGGCATTGGACCATTATTATCAGTGTTTCTTTTTTTTTTCCCCCATTCTAGTCTTTTTCCAAAAGTATGGTATAGGTCTTTACTACAGAGTATGTGGCAATTTTTTAGGAGTTACACAAATCAATATGTATAAAGGTAATTGCTCCATTCTTATTTATAAAAAAGATTTTAAAAATCAGAAAATATATTAATGTCCGTATATTAATTTGGTCAAACAAATAAGGGCAGTGATGTAAGAGAATGAAAAGAAAATGGTTAGACATTTTCCATGTCATTAAATGATAAAACTAGTTTACGAAATGCAATGGTCTGTTTTTTTTTTTTTAATTATTTATTTATTTATTTATGATAGTCACACACACACACACACACACAGAGAGAGAGAGAGAGAGAGAGAGAGAGAGAGAGGCAGAGACATAGGCTGAGGGAGAAGCAGGCTCCATGCACCGGGAGCCCGACGTGGGATTCGATCCCAGGTCTCCAGGATCGCGCCCTGGGCCAAAGGCAGGCGCTAAACCACTGCGCTACCCAGGGATCCCCAATGGTCTGTTTTTAAAGATTGATTGATGGGTTGATTTGAGAGAGAGAGCATGCGAGTGTACAGAGTGTACAGTGGGGAGAGGGAGAGAGAAAGATGCAGACTTCCCACTGAGCGTGGAGTCCCAGGCAGGGCTCCGTCTCATGACCCTGAGATCATGACCTGTGCTGAAATCAAGAGTTGGAGGCTAAACAAATTGAACCACCCAGGCACTCTAGTCCTATTTTTGTTTAAAATATAATTTAGGGGCACCTGGGTGGCATAGTTGGTTAAAGCCTCTGACCTTTGGTTTTGACTCAGGTCATTATCTCAGGCTCCTGAAATCAAGCCCTGCATTGAACTCTGTGCTCAGTGTGGAGTCTGCTTCAGACTCTCTCAATATCTCTCTCTCTCTCTCTCTCTCTCTCTCTCAAATAAATAGGTAAATCTTAAAAATATGTATATAATTCAAATAATTTTATAGAATAATACCTGTATAGTTTTTACCATATCACACTTCTCTTACTGTCACTCAATATTGTTTTAAAACTATTTGATTTTATTTAGCTTTCCTCCAAATACTATAAAAAATTGCAAAAATGTTCATTGTATTTTTTCACACACAGAATAACTTGATAACTGCTACAAGAAATTTCATTTTTGTATGATCTAAAGTCATCATTCCTTAATGAAATGTATATCAAACTTAATTCTCTTAAAAACGTAGAAGGTGTACAGTAAAATTATAACCATGTAAATATTGCTAGTACTTTTACTTATTTTTTCTCTGCTTTTCTGATTTTTAATTTTCTAAAGTAAATTTGGATAATGCCTTGTATAACATAAAAGTATTTTGTAGCTTAGATTTTTTTAATCATTAATTAAAATTAGGTATTTCTCTATAATCTTTACACTTCTCTATAGAATGATGTAATTGCTAATGTCCTGAAATGTCATTAAAATAGGTAATAATTTCTTTGAACTTTAGAAGTCTGAAATTAATATTTTGAGTTATTTCAATCTTATTTCAATTAAAGAACTGTTATTAAGCTGGAGATTTTATGGCACGTGGAATTATCTGGCTTCCATGAAATGAGTGTAATTAGCATTAGCTCTTAAATTCATTTTGCTGTGGTTTTTCATAGCATGATACTCTGTTAGGAGTTATTCTCCTCTAAATATTAAAAACTTATATCAGATTACTTAAATAAAACAAAACTTGGAAAGAAATGTACCTCATAATAATGAAAGATGCTTTAAAATTAGACTCATAACTGGGGAGCCTGGGTGGCTCAGTCAGTTAAGCATCCTACTCTTGATTTCAGCTCAGATCGTGATCTCAAGGTCATGAGATCCAGCCCTACATCAAGCTCTGGTGTGGGATTGAGCCTGCTTAAGATTCTTTCTCTTCTCTCCCTCCCGCCCTTACCCAAAAAAAGTAAATTAGACTTATAACCAAAATTCCTTTTTTTTTTTTTTTTTTTTTTTTTACAGGAATTGAAACCTGATATAGTAACTAAATCTGCTCTTGGTGATGATATCAACTTTGAAAAAGTCTGCAAAAAGGTATTCTGCAATGGATTGTCTTTGTTTTAAGAAAAGTTGCTTATTTATGTGGTTGACTTACTTTTCCTTGTCACCATTTTCCTTGAAGAAAAAACTTACCAATAAGCCAGTTACTATTAGTATATAATGATTTTTCCCTACTTGAGTTCCATTATTGCCACCAAAATAATATTTCTTAGGGTGATTTATGAATTTTGCTTTACTTCTGATATCATACCTTCATGGTCCTTAAAGGCATGCTGAACTTAAGGTGGCATTTATGTGTTAGATAACAATTAGTCTGTTAATCTTACTAATCAGGACAAAGATTATTTTTCTTTTTTCCAAATAATTTTTATGACTATTTCATTTAATCTCTTGTATCTACTACCCTGTGAAAAATTTGTTTTTACCCCCATTTTACAAATGAAAAAAACAAAGGTTAGAACGAATAAAGTGAGCTGAGTACAGTATACCACTGTTAAATGGGACTTTCACTCAGTTCTCCTGCTCCTTACTATTTCCCCTTTTTCATTTTTGCCTGCTTTGCTAATGTTTACATGAGACATTTCCAGCCTGAGAACAGATTTTTCATTAACAGATGTTTCTGTGTTGTTTTCTGTTTTCTCTTCCATTGGCATTTACTCTAATGTATATTATTTCATGTTTCTTACTTTTATGTCCACTTTGTTCTTTTGCTAGTTTTTTAATGTGGAAGCTTTGGTTACCAGTTTTAGACCTTTCTTGTTTTGTAACAAGCGTTTGGTGTTACAGAGATGCCTTTTTTTAAGCATTCCTTTAGCTGCACCCTTAAATTCAATATGTAGTTCTTATTTTTCATTGAGTTCACAGTGTTTCAAATTTCCTTTGAAACTTATATTAATTTTGAACAGTTAGAGGGTCTCCCAGGTATCTCTTCAGTACTCTTTCCTTTATGATCTATGAGCAGACTTTTTATGATTTTTTATTTGTGGCCCAGAATATGGCTTATCTTGGTGAATATTTCATATGCACTTGAAAACAGTTGTTTTCTCTGGGAATTAGTTTCCTAAAAATGTCAAGTAGGTCACATTAACTGTTGGTGTTGCTCAGGTGATTTATGTCTTTACTGATTCTCTGTCCACTTGTTTTATTACTCAGAGTCATATGTTGGAATCTCCAACTATAGATGTCAGTTTGCCTCTTCTGGCCCTTAGGAAGAAATGTTCTGTTTATATAGACTAGCAGTGACTTTCCTGCAAGTAATATGAGACATGCTAAATTTTAAAGCATTTTTAGGAAAGGCAGAATATGAAAGTTTTTTGTTTGTTTGAGGGGAGAGAGAATTTTTTTGTTGTCATTGTCCTGATAAGAGCAACACTAAATCCATGAAGACGATTTTACAACAGGCTTTTATTTTGTAGTAGCATAATTTTACAGTAAATATTCTTATTTCATAGAATTTTTTCACAAAGAGAGGAAAAAAGTTATTATAGTTTTAAACTGTGGTTTGGTCTGTATCTCAGAAAAAATAATGACGTTAAATAGAGTAGTGGTAATTGAATAAAAATGTTATAGAATGTATTTTTGTTTTCTCTTGAGAGCTTAAAAAAATAATCATTTTCCAGAATAAATTTTTTGAGCTTTCTGGTTGCTGAATTCTAAAAGTATTCATTAATGTTTAATTTACAGTGAAAGTAAAAAGGATCTTCTCTGCTAGATTCTTTTCACTTTGGAAAACTAATATTAGTGTATGTGTAGTATTTGTGAAATCAGTGTAATATTTGTAAAATCAGTTTCTTATCCTCTTCTATTTACAACCCTTCATTCAACTTCATACAGTGTGTGAAATGTCATTTATCAAAAAAAAAATGAGGCAACAAACATCTGTATTAGCTTATTGTTATTTTGTATTAATAAATTCACTTGCATATGACAAGATTTGTAGTCATGAAATTATTTAAAAATTTATTTATTTTAGAGAGCATGTTTGTGCATGAGTGGGCGGGGGGGGGGGGGTGAGCAGAAGGACAAGCAGACTCCCTGCTGAGCACAGAGCCCAGAAGTGGCCATGGTGCTAGATTTCACAACCCTGAGGTCATGACCTAAGCTGAAATCAGGAGTCAGATGCTTAACTGACTGAGCCACCCAAGTGCTCCTGTAGTCATGAGATTCACTACTAAATCAGATAAAAAGCTTAGGATCTCACTGTCAAGGGTCAGGTGAAATCTGATTACATTTCTGCTCTGTTTATACTTCCTCCAAAAAAAGGCAAGGAAAGAAGGGAAAGTGTAGAGGGAGGAAGAAGAAACATATTTCATCCAAGTTCTTGATAGAACTCTGGAGGGATTTAAAGCCAAGGGAAACTGCCCTGCTTAAGACATCATTTCAGGTTCCTCCCAAGCTATTTAATTTCGCCTATTTTGTTAGTGTTTTATTCCATTTGCAATATTCCTCCATTGGATTCAAGTTCTTCTGTTTGAAAATCTGTTAATAAATTAAACCTCTAAAAATGAGGCAGGCAGCACTGTTGTGGAGAGGGTATTGATTGTTCTTCAGTCCTAGGTAGTGAGCTCAGTGGAAGGTAACCTCCCGGGAATGAAGTCCATTACATAAAGCTCTGCACATTTGAGGCTATCTGACCATCATAGCAGAGCAAACTAATTTATGTAATATCTTACAGCTTGCACAGTTCTTCCATATCGCTCTTATCTCAATTGATCTTAACAACAGTGATCTCATGTAGAAAGCATTCAGCTGCACATGTGTGCACCCACGTGTGTGTGTGTGTGTGTGTGTGTGTGTGTGTGTGTGTGTGTAGTAATAGTAGTGTCTTCATTTTTCAAACGCAGAAAAGGGGTAGAAGGGTTAAGTAGGCAGTTGATATGTATATGATGAAAGTTTAAAGCTAGAGAATTGAAGGATGAAAATGTTGACATTTCCAGAGAGCTGGTGCCAGGATTTCAGGAGCTTCTCAATTCAAAACATATGTTGCATGCAAAGCAATCAGCAAGGCAGTATGGAAGAAAGGAAGGGGATAGGAAGCACAGTATTTTCTAGAGGAATATATAATCTAGTAAGGAGTTAAAAAACAGGTATATTAAGTACAGGATAAGGGGAAGCAAATTATTATCTGTTACCATCTGTTAACAGTTGCTGATTCATTAGGTGCTTTATACATGTTAGCTTTCTCAGGGAAGATGATAACTCCATTTAACGAAGGGACAAATGGGCCTGGAAAGGTAAAAATATACCTATTGTCAGTCCTTAGCAGATGGCAGGTCTAAGGTCTAAACCCTGGTCTCTGCCTACAAAATAAAAGTTCAGGAGAAAAAGTTTGGTATGGGTCCTATTTGCAAGACTGCATTTTAGAATCATGGTGTCCCAGGGATTGTTAGAGTTAAACAAATGCAGAAAGGTCTCCTCTTGTATTCAATGTGGACTCTAAGCCTTAGGATTGCTACAGTTCTTCTGTTCCAGCTGAATGGACTGTTCCTTATTACCCCCCTACATGTTTTTAATAAATGCAAAGAATATAACTTCAGGTGAAACCTGGAAATGAAGTCTAATTAATATTATTAAGAATACTGCTAATCAGCATTCTACCTCTGCCAGTTCACTCAGTTTGTTGTAGGCAGCATTTCGCAAGAATGAACGTTGCATGTAAGAGAGCTTTTTCATTTTTAGACTTTTGTTTATATTCACATGTACATTCTCAAAATTCTTTTCAGAATTGAACACCAAAAGCTTGTGTTCATAATAAATACCCGTATGCCAAAATAAAATTTTTCCATAAAAAGATGAGGTGTTTTCCCCTTTTTTATTGAATTTATTTGAAATGGAAGAAACTGGAGGTGTGTGAAAACCGCAGTTTCCTGAGAATTTTCCATGGCAAATGTTGTGTCAACATTAAATAAGGAAAGCTGTGGTTCCTTCATACCCTCTAATATTATGAAGTCTTTCTTCAGGCAGGTGTAAAAACTGTTCATAGAGAATACTTAGCCTTTTAAGCTTCAAAATAAGTTTGTGTACATTTAAGGTATATGACTGTATTCGAATTTCTTCTGTAAACCTCCATAACATTTTTCATCTCTTCAGTGAAGTTTATCACATTCTGTCTTGGATGAATTAGTTGTTCATTTGTCTTAACCTTTAATATTAAAGCAAGATTGTGAGCCTCAAAAGATGGTGTTTGTGTCCTTATGTGTAAGATCATGCCTTCACATATTGAGGCATGTTTATATAAGTATAAATATAAGTAAACATATGAAGAGGGATAAAGCAAGTGAGGAAGGAAGATGGACGGTAGTGAAATAAGAGATAAAGGATTTGAAAGGTCTCCTAACAGGTCCTGCCCTGCTTACTCCAGCAAGTTCTTCCCCTCAGCTCAGGGACTTTAGCCAAAGCTTTGAACCTTTGCCTAGTTACTTTACAAGCCTCTTTTTTATGCTTATATTTAATTTCTATCCAAAAAGATTTGATGGGGGCTTGAAAATGTCAGAAAATGAGTGAAAGTTAACTCAAGTGGTTTAGAATAAAACTGGTTGAGAATACTAGACTGAATTAAAAAACCTGACTGTGAGTTCCTAACTGGCTAAGTAATCTTGAAATCAAATCAGGACTGTTAGTCTAATTATTGGATAAAATAAGTGATCTATATTCCCTGTACCTCTTGTTAAAATTAGAATTCAAAAATGCATTGAATGATTTCAAATTGCTTTGTTAACAATAAGATTAAACAGGAGTTTAAAATGTTAAGTTTGACATTTTTTACTTAGTAGAAATAAAATTTAAATGATTGCTGTCATTTTTAAAATGTGATAATTTTAACTAAGACTTTATTTAAATCAAACATTTTAAGAAATACCATGTGTCCCTTTTTTTATTGGTCTTTGAAGAATGAAAGCTGAAATCCTTAGTATTTATAAACGTGCACCTATGCATATGCCATTAACAATTTTTCCATTTGCAGTTTTTCCCCATTAGAATATTTTTTCTACTCCCCAAATCATAAGCTACTCAGATTTGCAAATTAACAGATC